TCCTCGTCGGCGGCGGCGGGGTTTCCCGAGGTTGGTACGGACACTCCACCCCAGACACCGCCCAACATGAAGGTGGCTACACCGAATGGAGTGATCCAGGCACCACCGGGCGGTTACTGCACTGGTGGCAACGGCAACGCCACTAGCAACGGTAATCCCAATCCGTACGGGGCAAGTCATCCGGCCGCTGGTTATCTGTCGACGAGTTCCGGCTCGGCCAGCAGCGGTTCCTCCTTCAGCTCCAGACTACAGGCGTCCCCGCACAAAGACTTCTCGCCCGCGGCACAGAATTCCATCCTGCATCAACATCAGACCACTGCCAGCTTACCACCCACGGAGGCTACCACTGCGTTTAAACCGTTCTACAAGGGGTACGTGGAAAATCATCCCCCCGTTTAGGTCACCTCCTCGGAGCATAGACGGACTAGGCAAGTAACCGGGCGAGTAGCTCGTGCCAGTAGCTAAAAGCGAAGATGACTCGCCAAGCTTCTTTGCTCTTAGCTACTTTATTTCGAGACCTGCCTGGTTACTTGTCTAATCCGAACTAATCATACGCGGTGCAGTAGCTGGCGCCAGTTACTGTTTCATGTGTATCCTGCGCTAGCTACTTTATCGCTTACACTATCAGTGTAAACTGGACGTCAATATTATGCAGAGACGCGAAGTTAGCGGGAAGCACAGGGTTTCTTTGCATTTAAGAAATAATCCGCTTACACTCTTGATCTTATCTTTGACGTTCTCAAAGTGGTACTGGCTAGTATGATCTTCGCATACGTATTCCAAATACTAGTAGCCAATAATCTGAACATGTTTGCCTGTTCTATCCTGCTATAAATATCCTACGTATACAGTGTCCAAAAAGTTGAGCCTATTAACCAATTAGATTCACTTTTCGTCTCTGCACAACGTGCACTAGAGTTAGAAGATGATTGCAATGATCGAAATCCTGTGTTCCAGATCGCAGTCAATGGGCAGTGGGTTCGTGTCACCGGTGTAAGGCACGTTGGGTCGAGATTGGATCAACGACGCGTCTCTCGAGGTGAGTGAAATTACAAATCCTGTCTCTTTTACAAGCGGAGCTTTCTCGATGATAGGAATTAAGGTTCGTTTATACCCGATATCCACGCGAACCTTCGATCATTATAACTTGTCAAGTTCCCACCGTGTAGTCGTTTCGTAAATACTGCAGTTTATTCTCGAGAATTCACCTGAATCTCTTTTATTCCTGACACACGACTCCCGTTAAGTGGACAGAAGAATTTCGATGTTCCTCGCGCGCAGTCGATGACGAATCGTAATTACAGCGACGATGTTGGTCGTATACGATCGTAATTCATTTTACGATCGAAAAAGGAACGAAGGGAAGAGCGAGGGAGGAAGGTTGTCCGACAGGAGAGTACACGAGTGCGTAATCGGTTTGCAAATCGATGGAATGGCGTGTTCGCCCTCGATCGTGGCTGGCAGGGCCGCGTTGCTCGAGCGATCGCGAATGCTGCGTCGAATGCGGCTCGAGGAAATCGATAAGAAATTAATATCCGACGCGTCGATTGGTCGTTAGGGCTGGGCTAGCGTTGAAATAATAATGGCATTGAGTATCGAGTAGCTTGTGGCCGGCGAGCGTAGCGAGAGCGAGAGAACGCGCGGCAACGAGAGAAAGAAAACGGGAGAGAAGAGAGGCTATCGCCACCTCCTTGACAGTGACAAATGGACGGAGATTTCAATCGGTGAATGGAATCACCACTGGCTGTGGCCGGGTCTTTCTCTCGCACACGGCCCGCTACGTTATGGGCGAGCTCTCGTGAATACGTGTGCAACCGAAGCTGTGTACGTGTCTCGGAATACACGGTACACGGGCACACCTGAACCTGTCGCGTAGCTGACTGAGCGGTCCACTTGTGTGTACACTCCTCTCACGAATGGGATGCTCTCGGGACACGTCGGGTTCGAATTAACGGTGGAATGACAAACCCGCTTCGAGACGGTGAAACACGATAACAGGTCGACGCTGGGTTCTTGGCTTTCCGGGTTCGATTTGACCGAGGTCCCGTTCGACGCTGTTAACGGTCCAATTTTTTAGAAAATTACTTGTCGCGTTCACTTAGACGCTTCAAACTTACACCTCGAATCAACAAAGGAAAAGTCAGACCTCTTTTATCAATTTCGTATCTAGTTTCTACAAGTTTCTGAAACTAGATAGGCACCGAATTTTGGTTTATCGAAATCCCAGAACCCAGCCAATTGCATAAAACGCTAGAACGAAGAGAAAACTAGAGAAGATGTGGAAAAGTGGTTATCCGTAATAGCGGAGCGATCGTCGAATCGTCGAGATTTCGTTCCATTCACGAGATTGCGCCAAGAAAGAGAGACGAAGGGACTCGAAACGGTTGTTCCCTCGTTTCCTTACAAACGATTCACCGGATTCATCTCCGGAGCGTTCTTACTCCGATTTTTTTGGTCGCGCATCTTCGAGATATCTGGCCATTCAAGGTTATCTGATTGCCTTGATGCTGTAAACAAGCCGAGACCAGTTTTTCAGAAAAAAAGTTGGTCATTATAGATCCGAATCTGCTCGATAAGGACAATCAATTACAGTGTCCATTAAAATTTATCAGGTCATTTATCGACTTATCGCTTTAATAATCCCGTCGCGACAGCGAACTAGACTCGCTCTTTTTTGGTCCACTTTCGAAAACGATAATTATTCGAGTCTTGCTCTTAATTACGTTATTTTCTCGAGTCCCAAGGCGTTAAAGTCTGAAAATTCGTCGCTTAAAATGGATACGAGACGTTCTAGGAATCATAGCAATTAACGTCGAATCGATCGTTCTAACCGAAACGAGTAACTTTCCCGAATTATTCGGCTAGATAGAGGTGACGAAGCGCCAAACGAGAGGATCCACGGCTAAGAAATCAGCCGGAACGAGTCGAGGTGTAACGAAAAGAGAGAACGCGTTTCTCGTAGCTGGCCAGCTCCGAGAGCAGTCGGAGAGGAGCGAGAAGAAGAGAGAGGCATCCTTTCGAAGGGAACCGGGTGTTAGCCGGTACTCTTATCGCGTGGCGATCTGATCCTAATTTATAGCCGCGTCCCAAATAAACTAGTTTTCGCTGTCGTCACCTCTCGGACCCTCCTCTCGTCCGGTGTACGTGGATCGAGGGACCTTTGGGGCCTCGTGGCGTGGACTCTTATAACGCAGCGAGCCAAAGTCCCTGTTGGGGTCCAATTTTTTAGAAAATTACTTGTCGCGTTCACTTAGACGCTTCAAACTTACACCTCGAATCAACAAAGGAAAAGTCAGACCTCTTTTATCAATTTCGTATCTAGTTTCTACAAGTTTCTGAAACTAGATAGGCACCGAATTTTGGTTTATCGAAATCCCAGAACCCAGCCAATTGCATAAAACGCTAGAACGAAGAGAAAACTAGAGAAGATGTGGAAAAGTGGTTATCCGTAATAGCGGAGCGATCGTCGAATCGTCGAGATTTCGTTCCATTCACGAGATTGCGCCAAGAAAGAGAGACGAAGGGACTCGAAACGGTTGTTCCCTCGTTTCCTTACAAACGATTCACCGGATTCATCTCCGGAGCGTTCTTACTCCGATTTTTTTGGTCGCGCATCTTCGAGATATCTGGCCATTCAAGGTTATCTGATTGCCTTGATGCTGTAAACAAGCCGAGACCAGTTTTTCAGAAAAAAAGTTGGTCATTATAGATCCGAATCTGCTCGATAAGGACAATCAATTACAGTGTCCATTAAAATTTATCAGGTCATTTATCGACTTATCGCTTTAATAATCCCGTCGCGACAGCGAACTAGACTCGCTCTTTTTTGGTCCACTTTCGAAAACGATAATTATTCGAGTCTTGCTCTTAATTACGTTATTTTCTCGAGTCCCAAGGCGTTAAAGTCTGAAAATTCGTCGCTTAAAATGGATACGAGACGTTCTAGGAATCATAGCAATTAACGTCGAATCGATCGTTCTAACCGAAACGAGTAACTTTCCCGAATTATTCGGCTAGATAGAGGTGACGAAGCGCCAAACGAGAGGATCCACGGCTAAGAAATCAGCCGGAACGAGTCGAGGTGTAACGAAAAGAGAGAACGCGTTTCTCGTAGCTGGCCAGCTCCGAGAGCAGTCGGAGAGGAGCGAGAAGAAGAGAGAGGCATCCTTTCGAAGGGAACCGGGTGTTAGCCGGTACTCTTATCGCGTGGCGATCTGATCCTAATTTATAGCCGCGTCCCAAATAAACTAGTTTTCGCTGTCGTCACCTCTCGGACCCTCCTCTCGTCCGGTGTACGTGGATCGAGGGACCTTTGGGGCCTCGTGGCGTGGACTCTTATAACGCAGCGAGCCAAAGTCCCTGTTGGACCATCTCGATCCATCGTCTCTCCTCTCGGCCCCGCTGTTCGTCCACCGAGCTGGCTACAGGGAGCCAGGTATATACGTACGAGCTCCAGATCGTACGAGGGAAGTGCCTCTTGTTGCACCTACCTGCTGGACTTTTAATCTTTTTTCCGTCTTCGAACAGCAGGAAAAAGACGAGAGGATTCGGTGCTCGTCGGAGGAGCAGAGACGAGAACAGTTTCGACTCTCGTGGCCTATAATTGCCAATTAGCGCGGGAATATTTAATTGCCATTAGGCTGGGTGGTGAACTCCCGATCGGCTCCCTTCTGCCTGACCTCGACCAATGGCTGTCCCTTTTCCTTAGCGATATTTACACGATCCGAACGGCATCTGCATAAAATTCGCGACCACCGTGCGTCCATGGCCTTTTTAACGGCTTCGGGATTCCGGGAGTAGTCGAGCGTCCACTCGATAAATCCTCGAAAGACGCGGTCTTCTCGCGAGATTTGTTCGCTCGCGGGGCTGCTTCTGGTTCTTCCTCTTCGCGCGTTTCTCAAATTCCTCGCGAACGTCCTTCTTTGTCCTCGAGCCCCATTTTTGTCCCGTATTCTGGCTATATCGCGGCTCAGCTTTATTACGGAGGATCGTAGATCGTGAGATCCTCAGGGTCGAAACGGTAGCCTGGATTTACGTCGTCGGATGGCCGCTAGTCGGCTTCGTTGACGCTACCTGGGGTAACCGGAGAACTTGCTAAAACCCATCTCTTTCATTTTGAGCGGAATCCGTGCGGACGGTCCCGTACCAACTTAGACTGCAAGCTGAACGCTTTTACCCTCTATCTGCTATTGTAAGTAGAATTTTTCTCTTAAATTGCGCTTTCCTCCGACTCTTTAATCCTTCGTGTAAAACTATGTACAAAATTTCTTTTCATTAAATTTATACTGCACGTTATTTTCACGCCTTTCAAACACAGTATATTCTACCTTGTATAGTTAGTTAGTATGTCATATTCTCCTACATTCTTTTCTTACCTATCTGCCATTTGATATCCAATTACATTACTCACACTCGACACTGATATTTAATTACTACAATTTGTACTTGTTTCTCTGCAACTTTATTCGACACTTTGTTCGTGTTCACTTGACAAATCAACCGATATGTCACTAATCGAACATACGAGAATAGAAATCTCGTAACGAGAAAGGAACTCGCAAAGAATAAATCTCGTAATTCCGAGAAACGTAAAAACATTGAAACACAGAGGATTGAAGTTTTCCCGTGAGACAGTTGAACGCGTTTTCCATGACGGAACGCGTCGACCAGAGATATACATATTCTATCCAGGAAACCTCCTTCCAACGGCGTTGTTTTCCTCGCGGCTTATCGGGGTAATTTCTAATTAGCTCGGTCGACCGCCAATTAATCTTGTGCGATCTCGTTGGAAAATATGCCATCACCGGTCGTTAATACAGCCATCAGATCGGCCAAGTATTATAATTATACAATTAAATAACGAGCACGGTATTACCGTGGCTACGGTTGTCCGCCTTTTATCAACGACGTCGGATAAGATCTCGCGGAAAAACACGTCAACTTCTCGTAATTTCGTCCGCCTTTCAGATAATTATTTAAGAATCGCACCGAGGGAGCCGGTAATTTAGGACCTAACGATCGTTCGATGTTTGCACGACT